AAAGAAAGAAAGAAAGAAAGAAAGAAAGAAAGAAAGAAAGAAAGAAAGAAAGAAAGAAAGCCAGCAAGCCGCCAGGTCCGGGATTCAAACTGTGGTCGACCATGTGGGAGTCTAGTGCCCCTAACCACCACGCCACCCACGCAACCCGCTTTTACTCCTGCCCATGGTTCATTCTAAAGAAAATCCTCTGGCTGATTCTCATGGGCCTGGCTCAGCCCAGATTCCTGTTCATGAACCAATCACTGGGCCAGGCCTGTGTCAGACACCCGTGCCGGGAGCTAAGTCGCAAGGTAGCTCGCTATGAGAGGAATATCAGGAGCTCTGTCCAGAAATGGGAGAGCCAGCTGCTGAGAAGCAAAAACAGCAGCTGTCTCCTAGAAAGAGCAGAGGGCACCACCCTTGGGAATGAAGACGGAAAGCAAGAGCGTATCCATTTCTTGTGTGTCAGAAAGGCGTTGGAACTAGAGTCCTGGGCCAGGGCCACGGAGCTCTGCACAGTTTCAGAAGTGTGGTCGCCATGTTGGTGGTTTCAGCATTGCCATAGGCTTCCTGTAGAGGTTTGAAGGCTGCATAGGAAGGGAGCGGAGCGGAGAAACCGAGTCACACTTGCAACCGGACCTGGAAAGAGGAGAGTCCCCTAAGGAAGTGACCAGGGATGGCTAAAGAAGGCCGAGTTCCTGTAAGGAAGGAACACAGAGAGTGGCCTGAAGCCAGGAGGCCTGCCTGGTTTCCTGGCATCTTCCCCATTGACTCTGTCCTTACGTGTCTAAAGCAGGCTTTGTTAACCTTGGCATTATTGACTTTTGGGTTTGGGTAATTCCTCATGGCAAGGATTGTCCATGCATTGTAGGATGTATAGAAGTGTCCCTGGCCTCTGGCTAACAGATGCCAACCCCACCCCCTTCGTCAGTCGTGATAACCCAAAATGTCTCTAAACATTGCCAAATACCCCCTGGAGGGGGAGAAATTGGTTAAGAACCACTGGCATAGGGTCCCACGGGGAGGGTAGTGGTCCAGACTCCAGAAGTACATTCCTACCTGTTATCTCTTAGCTCCCCTGGGGATGGCTGAGGCTGGCTGCAGTGTGGCCCAGACAGGCTGTGTGGGTGTTTCTTGCTGAGAAATCTGCATCGAGTTTGCCATTGATGAGCTGCCTGAGGGAGACCCACTCCAGGGCCCCTCCACCATGGGGGACTGATGGCATTTTGTTCTGTCCCATCTGCTTCTTTTTTTTGGGGGGGGGGGGAGGTTTTCACTATAGGGCACGTGTGCTCGCCAGACAGACAGACAGAGACAGAGAGACAGAAAGCGAGAAATCACCCCCAGGGGGGATGGCCACGCTGCAATCCCTTCTCCTCCATTCTCCTCTTGGAATTGTGGACACGTACGCACACGCACCTGGCGTGAGTTTTAAGCCACCTGGTCCGGGACGCGAACCGTGGTCGACTACGTGGGAGTCCAGCGATATAGCCATTATGCTAACTGCTAGTTCCTCATCTGCTTCTTAAGTTTTGATTCCCAGCATGCTTCCAGGACCTCAAGATAACCAATTCTTTCTAGGATATTTCTCCAAAAGGCAGTTTGTTGGAGTATGCCCAATGAATCTGCAATGTGAGTTATATCAGTGAGCATTCCTTTTTAAAAATTATTTCTTAATTTAATTTTATTTGTCATTATTATTTTAATTTGACCAAAGAGACAGAGAGAGTGAAAGGAGGAGAAGGTGAGAAAGTAAGCCGCACAAGTCCGGGACTCGGACTGCGGTTGGCCATGTGGGAGTCTAGCACCTTATCCATCACGCCACCTGCCGGCTCATCACTGAGCAATTCTAAAATTTCAAGATGAAGGACCAGCAGATGGTGTAATGGTTACACTGCTGGACTCCCACGAAGTCAACCGTGGTTCGAATCCCAGACCCAGTGGCTTAAAACTCACACTTGCTTTCTGTCTCTCCAGCAATCGCACATACTCTGTAGCAAAAATTTCTTTCAAGAAAAAAAAAAAAAAAAAAAATTGAGAAGGTCTGGCCCCGTAGTACAATGGTTAAGCCCTATACTCAGGGAGCCAGATCTCACAAGGCCAACTGAGGCTTGAATCTTGGCCCTGAAAGCTTGAAAATCACACAGGGCATGTGTGCCTGCATGCCCCAAATCCCGATGGGGTGAAGTGGAGGAGGGTTGCAGCATGACCACGCCCCACTGGGGGGTGCTTTCTCTCTGTCTCTCAACAGCACACACCCTCTGGCAATAGAAGTTTTTCTTCAAGAGCTCAGTATTTTAATGTGTTTGGTTTTAAGTGGGTCGATGGGCAGGACTGGGTGAGGCAGCTAAGTAAACATTGCACAGGTGGTTTAGGGGCGGCACGTAAATGGCCACTGTGGACCTCGGGTGCCTGCTAGGGCAGGACCAAACACGGTGCTGAAGTGCAGGCTGACTTCCACATCTGGGGTGCATCCTCACCCCACATCATGAGTGGGATGCCGGGATGCTGGCTTAAGGACCGTCTCTCACCAGACACCTATTCCCTTATCTGCCGTCAAAGGGGACGATCCCTACAACTCCCGGCACCTTCTCCTCCAGCGGCATCAATAATTGATGCCAGTCGATGGCCTCACGGCCAAGGCAGGATCTGAGATGCTCACAGGATCTCCGTGAAGGAGCAGAGAGGTGGTCGATACTGCATTTACTTAAGGGAGCCCCCAGGGAGGCCCATAGCTGCTGGGAGTGGCTGAGCTAAGGCTGGGCTGGACAGGCTGTGGCCTCCTCAAAGGCCAAGCTCCCTCCCGAAGCAACGAGCCCATGGCAGTGGGGTAGAGGACAGTCCTGAAGGGCATGTCTGGCACTCATTAGGTATTGGCCAAGCATCGCCTTTGTGCCAGATGCTGTGTGCTGGTGCTCGGAGAGTTCCCATCTGGGTGATTTCACTTCCCCCAGGTGACATTCGGTGCTATCTAGAGACATTTGGGGTTGTCACAATTGTAGGATGGGTCTGTGTTACGGGCTCTAGTGGGCAGAGGCCAGAGATGGCAGCTAAACATCCTGCAATGCCCAGGACATGGCCACAGCAGAGAATAATCCAGCCCAAACGTCAGTGGGCTGAGGCTGAGGATCCTGGGTTACTGATGAACACAAGCGACCGTGGCTCGGCCCTGCCACAGTTTGCAGTGGGAAAAGGCAGGCAGAGGCAGAGGGGGAGAGTAGTGAGCAGGCAAAAGAATGACAGATGTGATTAGCGCTCAGAAAGGAGACCAGAGGCTGCGGTGGAGGAGTGGGGTGTGCCCCTGGCCAAGGTCTGAGCTGACAGGCTTTGAGCTGAGCCCAGTGGGGGAGGAGCTACTATTTATGCAAAGACAGGGGTGGGAAGTAGGGGGGTGGGTGGGTATTCACACAGAGGGAGCCCCCTCCACAGTGGCGAGGAGCCTTGGGTGAAACACCACTTAGGCTTCTGGGTAAAGTCCAGCTTGCACGGAGGCAAGAGAGAGCTGCAGACTGACTCCTGCAGGCCTTCCAGGGAGAGGCCGACGGAAGGAGGGGCGGAAGGAGGAGGTGGGTTCTGGAGAGTTCTCTAGGTGGGATTGGGGCCACGGGTGAGGGAGAGCTGAAGAGGGTAACTCCTTGTGGATATATGAGGGGTCTTCAAGGTTCATAGAAAATGTGTATTATGAAAAAACTATGGATTCAAAACTGCTTGCACCAAAACAAACTCGTACTTTAATTCCATTTTCCCATGGACCTCTTTTTTGGTTTGTTTGTTTGAGAGGTTTTTTTTTTTTTTGTTTGTTTGTTTGCTATAGGGCATGTGCACTTGCCAGAAAGACAGAGAGAGACAGAGAGACAGAAAGTGAGAAATCGCCCCCCAGGGGGGATGGTCACGCCACAATCCCTTCTCCTCCATTCTCCTCTCGGGATCTTGGGCACGCATGCACACGTGCCCAGCATGAGTTTAAACCACCAGGTCTGGGACTCGAACCGTGGTCGACTACATGGGAGTCCAGCGACATAGCCATTACACTAACTGCTGGTCCTCCCATGGACCTCTTGAAGTCTCCTTGTGCTATGTTTGGCATGCTGGGGGGGGGGCTGCTAAGAAGAGGTGCTTCTAGGAGTTGGGTTGTGCAACCTTTGGCAAGAGTCATCACCTCCTGGCGAGCCTGTCTGTCCCCTGTAAAATGGAGGTCACAATGGGACCTGGAGTTGCCGTGAGGAGTGGGCGGCAAAACGCCAGCTGTTGCATTGAGAGGTCAGCACCTGGAGTGGGATGCGGCTGTCCTTTAAAGTTTCATTTTATCCCCTTATTTCTGAAGAGGCCAGACATGGCTTGGCGTATCAGATTCAAAGAATACAGGAGGGTGTACAGAGAATGTGGGTGTCCTCCCTCCCTGTCCTTCAGCCTCTGGCAGTGACGATTCACAGCTGATTCCTGCACCCAGCCAGGGTGCTGGTGGCAGCTGGAATCCTCTGGGCAGGAGGCTGTGCTGGTGAGAAACAGGCACCTTTCCCAATGTGGCCAAAGGCACTCCGTGGACTGGCGGGTTTGAAATGAGGTGGGTCTTCAAGAAGTTGGGCAAGCGAGGGTCTTACCATGAAGCGATCCTGTCCCCCAACCATGCCCCTTACTTTTCCAGAACACTCGTGGTGTCAGAGAGAAAGATGAGAACCCACCAGGTGTTCGCCTTCCTCCTGCTCTTCGTGGTCGCCTCCGGGGCCTCTGAAAACGCCAGCACGTCCCGGGGCTGCGGGCTGGACCTCCTCCCTCAGTACGTGTCCTTGTGCGACCTGGACGCCATCTGGGGCATCGTGGTGGAGGCGGTGGCCGGGGCGGGCGCCCTGATCACGCTGCTCCTCATGCTCATCCTCCTGGTGCGGCTGCCGTTCATCAAGGACAAGGAGAAGAAGAACCCCGTGGGCCTCCACTTCCTCTTCCTTCTGGGGACCCTGGGCATCTTTGGGCTGACCTTTGCCTTCATCATCCGGGAGGACGAGACTATCTGCTCTGTACGCCGCTTCCTCTGGGGCGTCCTCTTCGCGCTCTGCTTCTCCTGCCTGCTGAGCCAGGCATGGCGCGTGCGGAGGCTGGTGCGCCATGGCACGAGCCCGGCCGGCTGGCAGCTGGTGTGCCTGGCGCTGTGCCTGATGCTGGTGCAGGTCATCATCGCCATCGAGTGGCTGGTACTGACCGTGCTACGCGACGCCAAGCAGGCCTGTGCCTACGAGCCCATGGACTTTGTCATGGCCCTCATCTACGACATGGTACTGCTCGTGGCCACGCTGGGGCTGGCCCTCTTCACGCTGTGCGGCAAGTTCAAGAGGTGGAAGCTCAATGGGGCCTTCGTCCTGATCACGGCCTTCCTCTCTGTGCTCATCTGGGTGGCCTGGATGACCATGTACCTCTTTGGAAATGCCAAGCTGCAGCGGGCAGACACCTGGGGCGACCCCACCTTGGCCATCACGCTGGTGGCCAGCGGCTGGGTCTTTGTCATCTTCCACGCCATCCCTGAGATCCACTGCACCCTCCTTCCGGCCCTGCAGGAAAACACGCCCAACTACTTCGACACATCGCAGCCGAGGATGCGGGAGACGGCCTTCGAGGAGGACGTGCAGCTGCCGCGGGCCTACATGGAGAACAAGGCCTTCTCCATGGATGAACACAATGCAGGTAAAGGGGCCGTTTGTTCTGCAGGGACTCTTCTTCCTCTCCAGTGGGAATGGGTGGTCCCGGGGGCAGTCCTAGCAGATCAGAGTCTACATTTACTGAGCTGAAACTGGCCCAGAAATAGATGCTTCTTAGTTAGGTTTTTGTTTTTGTTTTTGTTGTTTTGTTTTGTTTGTCAGTTGCCAACTAATTTATTATAAAAATCCAAGTTTCTGAGGTTTTTTGAAAATTAGAATCTGGTACCACTGGGCTGGCATTCCCACCGGCCTGCAGTTACCTGGGACCAACTCAGCCCTGACAGTGTGTGCTGGAAGGCCCTGCCTCTCGCCTCTCCTGTTAGGGCTCCACTTTTTTTTTTACCACACTCACTTCCACTCCCTATCGCTGACCTGAACTCTAACATATTAGCATGAATTCCCTGACTCCCTGGGTTTGCACCCTCTGTGCCAGATGGATGCAGAAGGCCCTGAGGGACAGTGCTCCTGTCCTCTCACTCTGTCACCAGCCATTATGAATCGTGGCCCTAGATATCAGGTTCAAATGCTGCCTCTGCCACTCCTCCATGTGTGGCTTTGAGCAGGTTACATGACCTCTCTGAGCCTGTTTTTCTCACCTGTAAAAGAGAAATACAGGTGACACTTGAACAATGTGTGGTGGTGGCGCCGACCCTCTGTAGGGTCAAAAGTCCACATAGAACTTTTGATTCCCCCAAAACTTAACTGCTAGTAGCCTACCGTTGACCAGAAGCCTTATCAATAATATGAACTCTCGATTAACCCATATTTTGCATGTTATAGGCATTCTTTTACTATATTCTTACAATAAAGTAAGCTAGAAAAAATATGATATTAAAAAAACTGCAGGAGGCCAGCTGGCCCTGTAGCCTAGTGGTTAAGGGAGCCTGTGGTTAAGGCTCACTGTGGTTCAAAAGCCATGGCTTCAAAATAGGCCAGGCACGAATCCCTGCATGCCAAAATCCTGACAGGATGGAAAACGGAGAAGGGTTTGCATAACTACATCCCATCGCAGGGCGCTCCTCCCTCTCTCTGCCTAGCACGTGAGCACAAAGCCCCCAGGCAGCTGGCCCGTGGTGTGTGCACCTTAATGACAGTCCTAAAAGCAGAGTCTGAGACGGGTCGGGTTCAGGTTTACTTGGGAAATGGTCCCGGCAAGGGAAAGGGCAGGGAGAATGAAACTGGGAAGGCAGGAAGGTCAAAACAGGTGCATTAATGAGCTGGTTGCCACCACGGACGGCGGGGCTCCCTCCTGCTGGCAGCACAGGACACGTGTAAATGAGCCTCGGCACTGGCCCTTACAGGACAGGAGGCCGCGGCACCTGTCCACCAGCTCCTCTCTCCCGTGGTTATGAATGTCCCCAAACTCTGGTGAATGGCCTGAGCACGTGCCAATGGGTGCCGAGGCAGGAAGAGATCTGCAGAGCACTTGCAGTGGGAGTTGTCAGGGTCCCCAGGACTGTAGTGGGATTCAGGCGTGAGCTTAGGAGTGGGTACAGGGACCCAAAGTCCCTGCTCTGGTTGCTTGAGAAGTGTCTCCTAGGGTCTTTACTTGAAGAACGTTGACTTCCAGCACCTGAGATAAAATAAAACTGCCTTTCTCAGTTACCTGAAGAAGCCTCGGGCGGCAACAATCGTATGAACAGCCAGTCGTAGAAGCAGCAATAGTTGTAATGACTCCCTAGTCATTGTTTCCTGAGCACTCACTGCGTGCCAGGCGCTATTCTAAATCTTTTTTCTTTCTTTTAAGTTTTATTTATTTATTCATTGAGAGAAAGAGAGAGAGGTACCCTTGACTAGGTCTCACCATGCCACGATCCTGCCCCCAGCCTTCCAGCCAGACAGGATCATAGGCACCACGCTACACCCAACATGTTCAGGCTGACCCAGCATCCAAACCTGGACCATGCGTGTGACTCTGGACTCAGTGCAGTGGCGCCCACCACCTGCACCTCCACAGCTGGGCCCATTCTAAATCCTTGACCTGCATCCTCTCATTAGTCTCCATCGCCTCCTAACGAAGTGGGTTCTATCCTGTCCCATCTTCTATCTGGACAAATGGAGGTTCTGAGAAGTTTCAAGGACCTGCAGCTGGGAGAGTTCCATTCCAGACTGTCATGATTCATATTGGTGGCATTCCCCCAGGTGCCTGGAGCACGGGCCGCCTGCAGGAGTTCGTCATCCCAGGCCCCCCGTGCCCGGGCTCAGAGTGCATCCCACCCAGGCCCTGTGCTGGAGGAAGTGCATGGAGCCATAGAATCCTCCACAGCCACCCCTGCCCCTTCTTGCCGCCAAAATACCCAGCTTCCTCTGGACCTCCTGCCCTTGCCAGCCCCAGCAGGGAACGCTGGTGGCCCCACCTCTGACAGGGCTGGAAGTTCAGCATGGCTTTTGGCAGAAAGCTCTAGGCGAGAAGCCTGTGTTAGTTGAGAGGTTTGGCAGGGACAGCGGTGTCAGCCCTTCGAGGGTGGGTGCTGCTCCCCAAGCTTACCATGGGGCCAGGAGAAAAGGGTCAGGATGGAGCTCTTCACTGGGTGGCCAGTGCCCGGGTCCTGATAGAGCCACCTCTTCACTGGCTCCCCCTGGGAAGATCTGCTTTATCTGAGGCCCATGGTTCCCCTTGGGCCTCAAGGGTAGCAGAGGCTCTTCAAGTGGATGCAGACTTCGGTGTTTCGTGTTTTCTTGGGGAATTGGTCTGATGTTTTGTCAGGTTCTCAGAGCCACCTGTGATTCCTGAAAGGTTAAGCAGTGTTGTTTAACACAGTGGTTTTATTGCCTTAAGAGTGAAAAGCAAGGTGTCAGGATGAAAGTATTAGGGTCTTCAAAGTTCAGTGGCTTGCTGCCCCCCAGCCACAGTTCTGGATGTTCATTGGCTCACCACATTTAATCCCTCTAAGCCCAGGAGGTCTGTTTTGCAGGCTGGAAACCAAGACACAGAGAGGCAAAGTAACTCACCCAAGAGGACAGAGCCAGGGCTCCAGAACCCCCATACATGACCACTCTGTCACGAAGTTTCTCTTTTTTTTATTATTATTATTATTTTAAAGAGATTGGTGCTATAGGGCGTGTGTATGCTCAATAGAGAGAGAGAAAGTGAGAAATCACCCTACCAGGGAGGATGGCCATACCACATCCCTTCCCCTCCATTCTCTCATGATTTGGGGCATGCACCACACGCACCCAGCATGAGTTTCAAGCCGCCAGGTCTGGGACTCGAACCCTCTAGGCCATGTGGGCATCCAGCGATGCAACCATTACACCACCTGCTGGTCCCAACTCTCTTCTTAAAGCACTTCAGTGTCCCTTATCTCACTGACAAGTGTGGCAGCACCACACCTGTGGAAAGATAAGCATTATGGACTCACTTTACAAACTGGGGCCCAGGGGCTTCTTGTTTGAGCTCTTGCCCTAAGAATTCGGCAGAGCAAGGAGGGAAAAGTTGGGTTTCTGAATCCTGTTAGAAACATACTTTCTTGTAAAATTGCAGCCAGGACTTTATATCCACATAAGATCCAAGGGACCTGGGACCAGGCTGGTCCCAGTGGTGTCAGGGCTGGCACAGGGGGTGAGGGACGGTCTGAGAGGTGCTGCACCCCACTCTGTTTCACTCTCTTGACACATCCCAAAGCTAAGTAAATCGCCCCCGCTTCCAAACAGTTTATTATTCCTGACAATCAAGGAGCAGCAGTCGTCAGACAGCATACGCAAGGAGCTTTATAGGTTCAGAAGTGAAAATAGCAGGAAGTGCCCCAAGTCCCGCTGCCTAGGGGCAGGTGCGGCCACAGCTTATTCCTGTCTTGCCAGAAATCTGTCCGTGCACACACGGACACACACACATACTCCCAGCCGTACCGCAGAGTGAGAGTTTTTGCTTGTTGGCCTTTTTAAATTTGCCAGAGGGTTCACGTGCTTGCCAGAGGGAGGGAGAGAAGGAGAGAAAGTAAGAAAGGATCCCCTCTGAGGGATGACCCCACAGCAGTCCCTTCTCTTTTTCTCCTTTCATTTTGGGCATGCGCACGCGCACACACGCACACACGCACACACACACACACACACACACACACACACACACCTGGTGTGTTTTTTTACCGTCCAGGACTCAAACCACTCCATCGGCCATGTGGGATCCAGCTGCCTTACCACCACACCACTGGCTGGTGCCAGCGTGGTTTTTTAACTGGCTGCACATTAGAATCACTTTAAAAAAAATTTACAGTGCTTGTCCCCCTCATTCTCATTCTCATCGAACAAGCCTGAGCTTGGGCCTTTTTTTTTTTTTTTTTTTTTTAAGTTGTACTTCTTTCTTCTGAGACAGTGAGAGACAGAGAGACAGCACCCCACCAGGGTCTTGACACCATAATTTACCGCCAGCCTCAGCCAGCCTCCGATCATGGGCACACATACGCCCCGCATACTCAGAGAAGTCTCTAGATGCAAATCCAGCACCTTCTCGTGTGGGTGGGTCATCCTCACCAAGCACCACACTCGACCTCTGTCGCCATCTGGCCTCAGGCTCAGAGTTTTTAAGCTGTCCAAGTGATCGTAAGGGTCATCAGCGGGGAAGCCCTGCTCTGAGTGGTGCAGTGAGCTTGCTTAGAGCCTCCCCAGGTCAGGACCTGCAGCTCCCATGCCCTCTCAGCAGCGCAGTTTTCCAGCAGGCAGCATCATTTATTTTTCTAATCTTCCGGCGGTGAATATCCGGCTTGCTTCAGGCTTTCCGTGATAAACTGTGCTGTAGTGAACATTCTTACCCATTCATCTTTATGCCTTTGATCAATTAACTTCTTGAAAACAAACAAACAAACAAAAAACTCCTAGATATGAGTTGAAGAGTCTGCCCCTTAAATCTTTTTTTTGTTTTGAGAGGTTTTTGTTATAGGATGCGTGTGCTCATCAGACAGACAGAGAGAGACACAGAGACAGACACAGAGACAGAAAGCGAGAAATCACCACCCCCCCCCGGAGCGGGGGGTGGCCACGCCACAATTCCCTCTCCTCCCTTCTCTTCTTGGGATCTTGGGCACACATGCACACGTGGCCAGTGTGAGTTTTAAGCCACTGGGTCCGGGACGCAAACCGCTGTTGGCTAACTGGGAGTCCCGCAACATAGCCATTACACTAACTGCTGGTCCCCCCCTTAAATCTTGATACATACTGCTGGATAGCACCTCAAAAAGGGACACACACCCCCACCCCATAATTACATGAGAGCCCATGTCCCCTCTCCTTCAGCAACCTTGCGTGTGTTCAAACTTTTTTCTTTATAAATTTGCTATAGGGTGCATGTGCTTCTTGGAGAGAGAGAGAGACAGAGAGAAAGGGGAAGTGATATCACTCACTCCAAGGTGGGGGTGAGGGGGAGAGGCTCTGCTGCAATCCCTTCTCCTCCATTTTCCTCTCAGGATTTTGGGCATGCACACACACGCACCTGGCTTATTTTACAGGCCACCAGATCCCGGACTCAAACTGCACAGTTAGCCAGGTAAAATTCAGCCACCTTAGCCACCGTGCCACTGTCCGGTCCCAGACTTTTCTTTTAATAGCCCTCCTTTGGATCATTCATCAAAATTCACATAGAAGCAGGCAGAGCAGACCTCTGACAAAGCCAATTTACTCAGAAAGCTCCCCCAGGAAGGATAAGGTGGAGTCCTGGCTAGGGTGGCCTTTGTTCTAGAAACCTTGGCTTTGCTGGCTGGGGAGTCTGGGCATGCTCCATACCACAGTGGACAGCTGTTGGCATCTCTAGGGCTGACCTTAGCCAGCTTGTATTTTAGAAACCAGGGCTCTTAGGCCTCACAGAATAGCCAGTGCCCAGGAGTGAGGGTTGGCCCTACTTTTCTAGCATTTAAATAGCCTTAGAGGGGCTCCTCCCTTGGGAGTCCATCTCGGAAGAGGCCCTGAGATGGGTTTGAAGAGCCCCTGAGATGGGACAGTCATTCTCCAGACTGACTACGGCTCTGCCAAGCCCCAGCAGCAACGCCCTATATCTCCATCCCCTGACTAAGTCTCAGCAAGTCACGAGGTACGTGGTGAAGATGCAAATACATCCAGGGATGTAGCACCTTGGGTCACATCTTGGAAAGCGTTAACAAGACACTTTCAATGTTCACCTTTCCAAGGGGCAAGGACGGAAGGTGTCCTTTCTTCTCTTAGGGCTTAAGAGTCCTGGGATTCTCAGGGCCAAGGGCTGTTTAAACCATAACACTTTGTTACCCACTAGAAGGCATTGGGTTGGCTTTGGGGACAGGGCCAACCTGGTCTTGCTTGCAGGGTTTAAATGAATACCACAGAAATGCTGGCGTTCAACCTATGAGCTTTGATCCCTGTGAGGACCCCCTTACACATGAGCCCTGCTTGCCTTTCAGAGCTGGCCTAGGTCAGGAGTGTTTGCTGTCAGTCAGGCTTCTTATACTTAATTGCAAGGAATAAATATGATTTGAATAAGCTAAAATATGATTTATTTTTTAAAGAAAAGCTGAACAAGGTCCAGCAGGTTGTGTGGTGGTTAAGGCACTGAACTCCCACATGGCTGACCATGGGTTGAGTCCCAGACCTGGTGGGACTTGCTTGCTCTCTCTCTCTCTCTCTCTCTCTCTCTCGTGAGCACATGTGCCCTATAGCAAATTAAAAAACAATAATAAAAATAAATAAGTAATTCTAAAAATAGATATCTGAACATACTAGAAAGTAGTCTTCAGAAGTGGTTGGATTCAGAAGACTCATGTGACAACTTTAGATTTGGTCTCCCATTTCTTGGCTCTGTTAGCACTGTGGCAGCCACAGCTCCAGGTTTGCACAGAGTCCAGTGGAAAAGAAGAACATTTTCCAGGATACCTGAGCAAAACTTCCAGGGTTAGCTCTGATTGGGCCTGACTACTCTTTCCTGAACCAATCGTTGTGTCCAGGGAAGTGTGATGTCCTGATTGGCCAGGTCTAAATCACATGCCCTTTGAGGCCCAGGGTCAAGGCAGTCATAGCCAACACTCAGGGGTATAGAATGTGGGTAGGATCTTCATCAGAGAACCACAAATAGCCACTACAGAGAGGGACTGTGGGGCCAAGGCCCCCCACAGGAGTCCAGTCTGTTTCCTTGAAGAGGAAGAGTTTGCAGGCAAATTTCTCCACCAGAGCTGCAGCAAGTCTACACAAAAGTGGTGCATTTGGTCTTCCTTTTCCTCAAGCAGGTCCAGGCTAGGAACTGTGAATGGTGAGAGTCTATGAGCTGGTTCCCACGTCCCCTGGGCTGCTCCCCTGCAATGCCATCGCCACTTCCTAGGAAGGGCAGCTGCTTGCCCAACTGTGCACAGTGAGCTGCTCAAAGGCTTGGGATGCTGCACAGCAAGAAGGGCTTTCCTAAGTATGTCTCAGAACATGTGCTGCTTTGGCCCTGCCTCAGTTTCTTAGGTCCGGTCTGGGCTGCACTGTCTCCTCATGCCACTTAAGTTCAATTCTTTCTTTTTTTTTTCTTTTTCTTTTTTTTTTTTTTTGAGAGATTTTTGCTATATGGTATGTGCTCTCACCAGAAAGACAGAGAGAGACAGAGAGACAGAGAGTGAGAAATCACCCCCCCCGGGGGGTGGGGGATTCCGCAACCCCTTCTACTCCTTTCTCCTCTTGGGATCTTGGGCACGCACACACACGCGCCTGGTGTGAGATTAAGCCACCGGGTCCGGGACTCGAACCACAGTCGACTACATGGGACTCCAGCGACATAGCCATTATGCTAACTGCTGGTCCCAAGTTCAGTTATTTCTAAGGAAATGTAATGGCGCCACTGTATCTGACCCAGTCACGGTGGCACACGCTGCTAGGACTCTGTGCTCCACAGGTCGGGATTACCTGGGAGGTTCAGGTTAGATCCTGATCCAATCAAAAGGCCTGGCACAGTGGCATGTACTTTAATTACAGATGGGGAGGCTGAGGCAGGACAATTACCAGCTTAAGGCAGGCCTGGCAGTACAGCAAGGAGAAGCCTGGATGGGTGGCATGCACCTTGTAGTCCCAATTGAGAGGCTGAGGCAGGAGGGTGGAGATAAGACCCTGTCTTTAAGGGGGAGGGAGAAGTGGTATAAAAGCACTGGACGCACACGTGGCCCCACCACAGTGCGAGTCCTGGACCTGGCAGCTTAAAATTCATCCTGGGGGATAGCAGGTGGTGTGGTGGGTGAGGTGCTAGACTCCCACATGGGTGACCATAGTTCACGTCCTGGACCTAGTGGCTTATTTTCTCACTTTCCCTCTCTTTCTCTCTCTCTGTGTCTCTCCCTGGCGAGCGCATATGACCTATAAAACAAATTTTAAATAATAATAATGATGAAAATAAATAAAATTAAACAAATACTTCTTTAAAAATCATGCCAGGTACATGTGCATGTACATGCCCAAAATCCCAAGAAGGGAATAGAGGAGAAGGGATTGCAGCTTGACCAACCTCCTAGGAGGGTGAGTTCTCACTTTCCATCTCATTGTCTCTCTCTGGTGAGTGTACATACCCTGTGGCAAAAACCTTAAAACAAAAAAAGAGGAGGATCAGCCCCATGGCCTGGCAGTTAAGGAAACCAGATCATGGCCAACTGAGAGGTTCAAATCCCAGACGTGGAGGTTTGAAAAACATGCTGTGCACATGCCCAAAATCCCCAAAGGAGGGAGAAGTTGAGAGGAAGGGACCATGGTGTGGCCGTACCCCACTGAGGGTGTCTTCTTCCTCTCCCTTTTTCTGTCTTAGGTGAGCACACGTCCCCTCTGGCAATTTTTTTTTTTTTTTTTAAAGAGAGGAGAGAGAAGGAAATACAAATCTCCAGAAATACAGCAGGGCCAGTCTATGGTGTGGTGGTGAAGGCAGCTAAATCCCCATGTGACTGACTGTGTAGTTCAAGTCCTGGACTCTGTGTGGCTTGAAAAAAGTGCTGGGAGCGTGCACATGCATGCCCAAACTCCTGAAAGGAGAGGGAGGGAATTGCAGCAGGACCATTCTCGTGTGTGTCTGCCTCTCTCTGTCTCTCCGGCAAGCACACGCACCCTCTGGCCAATTAGAAAAGCAATTCAAAGTATGGCAGATAAGAAATACTGATAACCTGCCTTTCATAAGGTATCACTGCTTTGCTTCAGATCACCCTTTTATTCGTGTTTTGAAATAACCCTACACATGTGGGTAGAGTCTCCTCTTCCTTTTCCTGGTAACTTTCCCCAAAAGACCACTGTGGAGTATTGGATTTCCGTACTCTGGGGGGGTTCCAGCTCTGTATATCCGGGACAGCGAGCAGTTCTGAACTCGAAGTGGAACTTTGCATGAATGGCATTCTAGTGAGGAGATCTTTTGTCAAAGAAAACCTGAGACTGCAGAGGCACTTTGCACCCCCAGCCTACAGGGGCTGTGTGGGAGAGGGAGGGGTTGGGCGGGGTGGGGGGGGAGCAGGGTTGCTGGCCCTGAGACTGGCCTGCACCCTGGACTCTACAAACTTCCCAGCTCCACTGAGAGAGGGGTCAGGCTCCCAGAGAGCCAGAGAACAAAGCCCCTTTGTGACTTTTGTTTTGAATCAGGCTTGTGACAAAGGGGAGGAGCCACTGGGGTGGGTGGGCTGGTGTGCCCCCAGTGCAGTTGTTGATGCAAGGGAAGAAAACAAAATTGTGTTTCTTTTTCGGTGGTGCTGTGTTGCCAATCCCCCTCCTTCAGCTCTCCGAACAGCAGGATTTCGCAACGGCAGCTTGGGAAACAGACCCAGCGCTCCGTTTAGAAGCAATGTGTATCAGCCAACTGAGATGGCCGTTGTGCTCAATGGCGGGACTGTAAGTATCAAGATGTGAGGTTTTTGCAGAAGCCTAAGGGCGTATGGAGTTGGGGAGCAGCTTCAACGGGCACACACTGCTCTGTGGAGGCTGCTTCCGTGGCCTGCAAAGACAGCAGCTCTAGTGGACATCCCTTGCAGCTAGAATGCATGCAATGCTTCCATTTTTCTTCTTCCCTCTTACCCCCTTTCTCCACCCCTGAAAACCCACCTTTACTTAACCACCTACAGATTCGTTTGGAAGAGTCTATTTTTCTTGGGGTTCTTGTACCCAATGAATCCTTGGGCTTTCATTATACATTGTCCCAACACTCTCCCTGGGAGGGGACTTAGGAAAAGCGCCAAATGATGAAGCTTTACCCACCCCTCCCTCCAACCCCCAGTGCATTTTGCTTACCTCCAACCTAGTTTAAGTACCCTGGTCCCCTCTCAGTCTTTGTGCCCCAGCTGGGTACCGGGTTCTCCCCTCACTCACTAAGAGATGTCTTACTAAACTGAAGCGATTACCATCTCTGTCCGCCAAACACGAAAGCAAGTTTACTATCTGATGCCAAACAGACCTTCAGCAGAATTGTCATGGCTTATGTTTTGCCTCCGTGGAATGACATCATTTTGTTTCTCTGGCAATCCAAAGGCACGCTCTCATTCCTGCATTTAACCTCCAGACACTGCTCCGTGCTTCTTTCTGAAACACCTGAGCCAGTTTACATGTGTAAATTGGATTTCCATTCTTTATATCATATGCTGATCCCATAACTCAACCTGAGCACTTTCCTTTTTTCTTTTCTTTTTTTTTTCTTTTTTAAAAATTTAGTCAGGATGGTCTTTGATCTCTTAGGTTTTCTGGCCTTTTGAATGGTATGCAAGGCATTGGTTTGCATTGGTTTGGAACAGGTTCAAAGACAAACAGAATCACAGATTTGCATTCTTAAAACCCCCTGCCATCCTTTGAGCTGTTTGATTGTCCAGTGCCAAGAAAAGCCTGATTCACACACATTCGGCCTGTATAATAATAAATATGGTTAGAAAAGGCCCCATCAGTCACTCTTAAGCCCTCCTGGTTCCCTTCAGGGCCAGTGTGTGTAAAATCACCCAGGACTTTAAAAAGTGAATGAGTTTCTGGGTAAGGAGATTTATATTCCTCAGGGGTAGATGATTACAAAAAAGGGGCATGGTCTTATAAGAACCAGCGTAGCAGAACAGACTGGTTGCTGGTTTTCTTGGGAATGATTCAGCCTGTCTAGGGACAAGCAAGGTGACTCAAGTTTGGCACGCCGTTAAAGATTCTGTTTCAAATGTCGATGTTGCAAAGCAGAGTTCTTAGTGTGTTATCCTTGTGTGTTATTCCAGATCCCAACTGCTCCGCCAAGTCACACTGGAAGACACCTCTGGTGAAAGACTTTTAAGTTCCAGAGAATAAGAATCTCTTACCGATTTTATTCCCTGGCTGTGTCTTTCTTGAGGGAGAAATCGGTAACAGTAGCCGAACAAGGCCGCCTCACAGCCAGGAGATTTGGAAATCCTAGCCAAGGGGATTTCATGTAAATGTGAACACTGATGAACTGAAAAGCTAACACCCACTGCCCTCCCTCCCCTGCCATGTGTACACACACACACACACACACACATAATACCAGACCAACCTCGATCCCCGCAAACTAAAGCAAAGCTAATTGCAGACAGTATTAGGTTCACGCAAAAATGTGGCTGGGAAGGCTGTTTCATCCTCTGGGAGAGAACAGAAGCACATTCACAGCTGGTGGGCCAGGCTGGGATTGGTTGGATACAGGAGGGCCCCTACCCCACGGCCCCTCCCCAGCAAGTGCTGGGCCCTAGGTGGCCCCCTAGGTGGCACACGTCCTATTCGTGGAGGAGTAATGGGGACTTTTCCACCAGCTTGCTTGGTGGTTTGTACATTTCAAGGGGGTCAGGAGAGTTAAGGAGGATGTGGGTGTGAGTCTAAGGTTGAGGCCCAACCAAATAGCGGGGTGAGCTATATAGCCAGTAGTGGTAGAGAGACCCTGACATGTGCCAAAGAAGAGGCACTCTGGATGCTGAACTGACACCATCACATTTAGAAAGTGGTGACCAACCACTGTTCCTTCTGGGGGCCTCTTTCTGTAGTGCCTATGGCGAGAAAGTGAGTCCCACCCCTTCCCCTGTGGAGCCATGGAACTACTCCGGCTTGGAACAGCAGTTCCTTCTCACTTCAAAATTCTCCCTGTTGGTGCACTTCCAGGTGCTCCTCCACACCCTTCCCCAACACCATTCCCATGTTCACTTCAAAAGCTCAGAGGCACCACCAGCTTCAAGCCCTTCCAGGAAGCAGGTCGGAAGGCGGGTGCCACAGCAGGTTTCCACACCGATGCCACGTCGTGGGGCTCCCGGGGTGCCCTCTAGGATGGAGAGATGGTTTCCTGCTGCCTAGCCAGCAGTGACTTCTCGGGTCTTTTCCGTTGGTAATGGTGACGGTTCCAGGATGGAACGGATCACGTGAGCATTTCTTGCTGCTTTTGGAGGGCTCTAGTACATTTCGTCTTGGTTTTCCATGGGCTCCATGAAAACTGCTCTCTTCAAAGCCCATTATTTCTGTCATGGTTTTCATCTGTCCTGAGCAAGTCATTCCTTTGTTATTTGGCATTCCAAACATCTCGGCCATTAAAAGCCCCACGTTCTCTGCACTGTTTGGCCAGCATAATCACTAGCAAGATTCAAAGCAGTTTTAGCCCGATGGCATGGAATGTATCAATGACAGTGGGTCCTTCTGCAGATACTCTAATCGCTACATTGCTTTTTCTATAAAATTACCCGTGAGCCTTTAACCTTTAAAGAAAATGAAAAAGGTTAGTGTTTGGGAATGGGGGTGGGGGGAAAACCAACCTCTTCGTGAGCCAGTATGACTGAGCTGAGTATGTTTTAATAAACCTTCTGATTTTTCTCGAGGCCCTGGTCTCTGCTGTGTCCCCTTCCCACCCCCTGATCCTTGCAGAGCACTGGGTGAAATGAGGCCAATCTGGCCATCTCTGGGTGGCTTTCCCGCAAGTGTTCCTTCCGGCTTGTGCTTTTCCTCATGCATGGGGAAGAAAAAGCATGGCCCCAGAATGCCGCCTCTACCTGGCCTTCCGGAAGCACAGCCCCGCCCACAGCATGTGCTTGCTTGTAAAGAATCAGATTCCAGTCCTCTGCTCCAGACCATCGTTGGGTGGACTGAGAACCACAGGGAGGAGTGGGAGGGGCAGAAGTCAGGACCTGGGCTGGGCATGGGGCAGGGGGGCAGTTGCATGCAGACCCAGTATTGTGAAGATAAAGAAATCTCCGAACGCCTCAGTCCAATCCAGTGAAAAATTCTTGTACCAGGAAATGGTTGCTCACCCCCGCTCTCTGGAGTCCTTTGGAGCTTTCTGATACCATCAGTGACTCAGTCTGCAAGAGCCCCCCTTGCAGAAAGGAGCAATTCACACGATTGTTTTCTCTCTAAGCTCTTTGTTGTCCGTGCACAGCAGAAACAGCTTCCAGTGAAAAGTAACGTTTCCCCAGTGCAAAAATGGAGCCATCTTTGAGTCATGGGAAACCTCACCTAATGAGACCTGGTTTTCCTCCCATTTTACATCTCTGACATGTTATTGCGCTTCTGGGTTTTGTTTTATTTTGGCTTTAAAGTCCAAAGTGGGCTGAATGCCCTCACAATGGAGGCAGAGGTGGGAGTGAGGGGAGAAGGGAGAACACGTATTTTTCTAATGACCTTTCACCTGAAGAGTACCAAGAGCCATCTTTGCCAAGAGACTGAACGCCAGCTGCCCCCAGGGAGTAAGGTTTAAACACAAAACAAAATGGCACCTCTGTTTAAGATCTGGCTATGTAAGCAAGACTTGTTTGGGGAAAACAACGTGGAAGGAGAGTATCTGATCAAAACCCCTAATTGTAAGCACAAATCTTTCCATGTCCAGTTATTAAAATCGCTTTGGGACTATAACAGCCACTCTGGTCCGCCCTCTTAATGGAAAGCTGCCGTTCTATCCTGGACTTCTCCACTTGAGGTGGAAGGTAGAAGAGGCAATCAGCTCCGAGAACTCACAGACCGGAAAGATTGGCGCGTCTCAGGTGTTGCCCGGGTTTGTGATGTGGATGCTTGAAGCTGGCTGTCCAAGGCTTTGCTAGCGCCGATGTCATGGAGCCTGCAAGTACGAGCCTAAAGTGGGGGTGGTCTTCTTGGTTGTCTGAGGTGGAGTCGAATGCCTCAGGCCAAACCCCAAACTGAAAGGGAGCATTATGGCTTTTATAATCCAATGATGCAATGACTATACCAGCTTACAGGAGTTCTCGGCAGGTGCTTTTTATTAATTGATAAAGAGCTAAAGCTCGTTTTTGATAGATAATATATATTTATTAAATGTATTAATGTGTGTTTTATAATGTACCTTTATCTTCCCCTGGCTGACTGTTGCATACTTATAAGAAAAAAAAAAATCGTTACAGAAATTTCAAGACAATCAATGTGTACCATAAATGACTGTATATAAATATTATAAATTTAAAAGGTTGTAAAGCATGGGCAGATAGGTTTTATTTTCAAAATGCTGTTCTTAACACAAAAATAAAGGCTTTACTATTTACTTAAGATGTGTGGTAGCTTGTCAAAATAACCCAATGTCACTTCTGGCCTTTCGGGTCTGCCCCGAGGCTGAGGCTGTGGCATTTTGACTGGGAGAATCTTGGCTAACAGCAACCCACAAGACAAATGAGGGTAATAAGTTAATTTACCCATAAAAGTAGGATCCATCTGTAATACTTTGGGACCCAGACATCAAAAATCCTTTGTTATCGTCTGGGTTTAAATGTCTCATCTTGATGGGTCTGCAGTAAAAGTTAAGGGCCCATTTCCTTTGAAGATGATAATAAGCAATAATGTCTTTTTTTAGAAAAAGAGTAGTCACCAGGTTAACTAAAAACCCACTTCAGAGGTTTGGGACTTTAAATTTAAATATGGATCTTTGCAAAGGCAGCCAAAAGTGGGGAAACTGCTCCAGAGCACATCGGCATCTCTCGGGACTAGAATTCTTTGTGCATTTTAACAGTGCTTGGTGTGGAAGGATTACCCTGAAGCACTGAAGAAATATCTGGATGAAAGAATAAAATATGTGGATAATGCAAAAAGTTAAGACTGGTACTTTCTTTTAAAAATGATTTGCACTAAAGTGCAGTTGGGACAGATTCTATCTTGTGTGGGAAAGATTCTGTTTTCATGTGTACCGAGACTTGTTAAAGAGATCACAACGGAGGAAGCGCAGTTTGGCCACTTTCTTTACATGGGGTCATTTGCACTCAGACAGGAAAAGATGCCAACGGTGGTTGGTGGTTACGGTGATGGAATGTTTTCGAGCTCCTCGTTGTCCTCCATTTCGCATTTCACTGCGAATAAATGAAAGAGAAAGTCAGGATCAGCGGATCCGTTTACATACCTGGACTGACTTGTCATCTGGAAGCTGGAAACTGTGATGCGTGGACACGGTCGGCTGCACCAAACCCATGGAGGGAGCGCTGACAACGGCTCTGCCCCCCACCCCCGCCCGCAAGAACACAGGGCCATTGTGCTCCAAGGGCAGCACCTGAAGGTTCAAAATCACTTCCTGTACTGTTCGCGGCCATTCTAAATTCAGTTCAGAAAAGGGTCAGAAGTGTGCTTTGCAGGTCAGGGTACTGAAGGAAGGAAGTTTAACTCAAGATGATGACAGATTCCAGGTTCAACCCAGACTCAGCCCAGTCTGTCACCACACACCCTGGTCCCTCCATCCGCCCACAACGAAAATCTCAGGGCATCGCCAGGGGTCCATGGGAAGGTCAGAAAAGACTCTTTTCTCTTCTATCATGGTCCGGACAAGAACGTGATCCCAGTGATTTCCTGAGTCTGCCAAACAGGAAAGGTAGCTGGACACAGACCATTGCACGGTGTAAGGAAATTAATTCCAACAGCTGAGAGCCCCGCCCATAATAGCTATGGAAACACAGTCCCATGGGTGTGTGGGGGGATCCCTTTGGAAAGACCATCATTTTCTAATATGTCTTTGCCTCTGGCATCCAAGTGCTTGCCCCGTATGTAATGCCTGGAAAGTTATAGGAGCGAGGTCACCGTCTCTCATTCCTTATGGAGAGCACTATCCCAATAAGCAAGGGTGTTTGGGGTCACTGTGTAGAACAAAGGTTTCCATCAAGTTCACGCCCAGTCCTAACCTTCGGGTGACAGGGCATACACTGACCACGTATGAGCACAGGGGCGAGGCATGCCCACCAGCATGTCACTTCCTGATGGAGGCAGGACAGATGCCTTCAACAGCCAGGCCAGGCCAGCAGCCTTCACACCGGAGATACACAAAGACTCTCCAAGGGTTCTTGGCTGTAGTTCACTTAGAGAAAGTCTGTTTCCAGATCTTCGGCTTCCAGGCACAGACTTGGAATTGTGGAGTTCGCTTGGGTCCTCCTTTCCAGCCTCCCCCAGTTTGTTAAAAAAAAAAAAAAAACCCAGGTACCAAACAAGAAGGCAATCTGAAATTTTGAGGATCCCCTTTATTTTCTGTTTAATAACTATCAAAATGCATATTGTATTTATTTGGTGCTCTATACTTCTAGTAATTCTTAACGTAAGCCAGAAAAATATTTTTAATACTTGGAGGCTGTGGACATTGTCCTTCAATGTGTATGCCTTTTTGGTTCCATATATATGGAAGCTCTATGGGCCATCTCAATAGAGACCCAACATGCATCTGGACCCTACTGATCCTTCATAGCCAAGATGTCCCACGTCTCGCCAAGAGCCTTCCCAATGTCTCCTGGACTCAGGATATGCTGGTGAAGACCTAGCAACATTTGCCACTGCCACAGTCTATGGGAAGTGGCTCCCTGCCAGCTACGTGATACAGAATCGGGAGGGGGTGTGCACGGCTGGGCTGCTCTGGATCTTCACCGGGAGGTAGGCAGGTAAGCTCGGGCAGCGTCAGGAGTAACTTCAGACCTGCAGGATAGCATGCTAAATATGGTTTGCAGATGTCTGCAATTTGGGGAAATTGTTAGAAATGCAAAATCAGGGTCAGCAGGTGGCATGGAGGTTAAGGCACTGAATCCCACGTGGCCACCTTCATGGTTTGAGTCCTGGACCCAGTGGCTTGAAAATTACACCAGGTGTGTGTGCATGCATGCCCACAATCCCAAGAGGAGAGTGAAAAAGAAAGGACTGCAGTGTGGCCATCCCAGGGTGGGGGATGGTTTCTCACTTTCCCTCTCTCTGACTCTTTCTGATAAGCACACATGCCCTATAGGAAAAACTAAAAAAAAAGAAAAAAGAAAGAAATGCAAAATAAAGACCCCATGGGGACTCAGAGAATCAGAATCAGACCAGACACTGGGAGAAGAACCCAGTGATCTCCAGTTCAACAAGCCCCCCAGGTGATCTCTATAGACTAAAGCTTCAGACCCATTGACTGGTTCTCTACCCTGACTGCATGCGAGCACCACATGATCAGCTTCTGAAACCTATTTCTGGGTTTTATGCCAGAAATTCTGACGTAATCATCCTGGGGCCCAGGCTTCAGTATTTAGTCAAAGCGCCTGTGTGTTGCTAATGTTCAGTCAAGGTGGAGAAACAGTATGTCATTGGGATTCCTTTAAAGAAACATGAATGTAAGACCCTCGGAGGAATCTAAAGTTCCCCTCCACTTCTAAGCACCATGATGGCTCCCTGTGAGGTTCAAAATATCAGCTGTTTGGAAGGCGTTCTCTCTTGCCTACAACTGACAGGGCTGGAGGCTGTTAACAGCATGGAGGGACCAGCTTCTGGGAGGAACTCCCGCGCCTAGTTTTCCTTAGCTCTGCCAGGAGGAAGAATTTCCTCTGCATGCCTTGGTCCCAGGATTTTAACCAATGCCTGTGCTTGCCTTGGTAACCTTTCTTACCCATCTTCTACCCTTCGGCCTGGGAAAAGGCCCTTACATCTCATAGATCATCATGCAGAAATCTTAGGAGAGTAAAATAGGATGATGTAAGGATGTTCCTTCAAAGTAAAAAGTCAAGAGATAGTACAAGGGGACCTCAAAATGTTTGTGGAAAAATGTAATTAAATGTTTGATTAAATGTTTTTGGTGCAAGGACATTTTGAAACGCACTCAGCTTTTCCATAGCACACATTTTCCATGAACTTTCTGAAGCCACACCACCACTTCTTCTGTCTCCCCGGCACACCGTATCTGGAGTTACGGAGTCACTTGAGGAACTCTAAACAGTCCTGATGCCCCAGTCCTGCCCCACAGACAATCAGAATCTCTGGCGATGCAGCCACATCAGAAAACTCGTGTTATCAAATGGAAGAGTCGGACAGCGAATATAGGCCCTTTAACTCTGACACTGCAGAAACCTTTGCACACAGGTACCGGGTGATGTGAATTAGGATGCTCATGATAGCAGGAAACCGGAAACAACGCAGATGTCCATCGTCAGCTGCCTGGACAAACAAATTGCAGTGTAATTGAGCAGCAGTTCCAGGCAGTTAATAAGAATGAGCCACAGCGCGACACATCGACGCCGATGAGTGTGAGGAGGTTCAACGGTACGAGCACAGGGCAGTGCACAGCGTGATTCAGCTTAGGGCATCTCTAGTATAGAGGGATGCGCACCATTCCAGTGTGTTCTAACAGATCCTGAGTCTGGGTAATTCAAGAGAACCCAGGTTTATTCAGCTCAGCTTGGAGGTCCAGTGTCCAGGGCTGCACTTGACAATGCCTTGCTGGTGGGGAGTCCCGGGGCATCATATGGCAGAGGGCAGGAACATGTGAGAGCAGGACGTGTCTCCCAGGAAGCCCACCAGGGGCCCACCCTGCTGCTAATCATTCCCAAAGGCCCCGCCTTCCCACACCATAATAGGATCCCATTTCCACAATCAGCACCCTTACTAGGGCTCACCAAATCTTAACCCATGAGCTCTGAGAGGACACATTCAAAGCATAGCACATTCTGAGTGAGAAGAACTAAGAGCAGGAGCCCGACGATCACCAAGGCCGGGGGGCCGGGGCAGGGGACTCAGGCGGGCTCGCTTATACGTGCTTCAGAGTCACCATCGCATGTGTATTTCTCCCCAAATGTAAAAAGATAGCAAGATGCCAGGATACTCCCTGAAATTACAAAGTCAACAAATAAAGGAACAGAAAAGGGCAATTTCGCTGTACGGGGAGGGTAGAGATGGGATGTACATGAGCTAATCCTAGTCTATCACAGCTGGAAGTCAGCAGCTCACACAGAAAGCCTCAGCCACCGTGTAAACCTGTGAGAAATACGGAGGAGGAACGCCGAGGAACAGCCCAGAGTCCAAAGCAATTGCTTCTGGGGGTGGAGGAGGGTGACGAGATCTGAGGATGCTCATTTCGCCTTCCATTTTATCCTGTGTATCTTTGGAGCCATGAGAACCTTGTACAAGGACTGCTTGGGTAAAAATTAAGAAACATAAAACCCCTGCTTGGTGGTTCTCCCGGTCTGGGCAGGACACAGCCTTGCACGGGAAGGTAATCAATGAAGGAGGAGGAAGGGAGGCCGGAGGGGAGAGGCAAGCAGGAGGCCGAGAACCCGGTTTCTTTGGCAGTTTACAGACATCACTGTGGTCGGCTTCCAACGCCAACGGACAGATGCCTCGGTGCCCCTGTGCCGTCCTTGCCCCCCTGGCAGGCTGGTGCCCAGCCAGTTCCGGAAGGGCTGGGAGGGTGGAAAATCCCGGAGAGATGCGCCAGCCCTTCAGCTTCAATTAAAGGCAATGTGACCAGAAGGGCCTTGCATACTAATGAGACTCACGGACATCTCTCGGTCGCCCTCACTTCTCCTGTTCCAGTCAACGACAGGGCTGAGAACTCCTGTCACAGCAAGAGAAAAACCTCCTGGCCAAAGCCTGGTACAGATGGAGGAGATACCGAAAGCTCAAGACAAGGAAATCTGAGGACCACAGCATCACCCAGCCACTCCTACAGAGTGACCCAGACAGGGCCTCAGCAAAAAGGATCACTTGGAGCAAAACCAGATTCCTAGGACCCGCCCCAGACCTTTGGAATCAGTCTCCAGGAGCAGGGCCTGGGGATCGGTGCCCATGCCCCACCTCAGTGCTATGGCTATCCTTCTGATTTGGGGAACAGTGTTGGGAACAGTGCTGTATCACTCGGTGCCTGTTCCCGAGGGCTCCAGTCCTCTGTGGGCTGGGATTGAGAATGACACCTGAGGGCACTGGGAGGAGCGTGAGGCAAGACAGGCAGAGTCTGACCCAGAGCTCAGCACTGGGTAGAGCTGTTCTTAGGGCATAGTCCACCCCCAAAGAGCTCACAGTCTGGAGGGGTAGGCAGAAGCTGGGAATTACTGCTTAAGAACCGAGGGGCTGGCTGGCAGCT